TGAACCTATGGAAAACTGCAAAACTGCATGAAGGACTGGAAAAAGATCACATCAGTTCTGTCAGTATGAGCTGGGATGTCCTCCACGTGTTCCACTGGGGAAAAAAAAAATCAAAGCACAAACTGACACTCACCAGAGGCCAGGCAATCCTGACTGGAGACACAAAATAAATGCACCAGCTGGAGGAAGAGCTCCAACCACAACTGAAGAGAAAACTACAGGAAACAAAACTATAGGAAATCATGGTTTAAGAGCTTCAGGAGTGCTGAAAAAAAAGTTAACCCGAAGAAGACTTTTCATCCTTTTACATCTTGCTGCATTTTTGATTAAAGATCAGTTTTGACACAATGGAGCCAAGGTGCATTCGCTCCAAAACCAAGGAACCAAACTATGTGCTCTGGAAACATTTTTCAAGCGGAAGAGCCCTAAGACTGCCCATTTCCTCCCACATCCTCCTCATAGTGGCCATGAAAGGATAGTAATTGACACAGAGTAGCTGTATTCATCAAAGCTCCTTAATCTGGAAGGAGAACACATTCCTTCCTACATAGTATCTGGCAACTCAGCCTGCAGAAAGAGGAACTTGTAGATACCAGTAGTTTTTCTTACTTTAAATCTCCAGTCTAGTTTTGGTGTATTTTAGTTACCATGTTGCTGTGAAGAAAGTAGGCACCCAGGGTTGTCTTGATGAGTATTTTAGCAATCCCATTTGCACATACAAACATCCTTCTGCCTAATTCTGAATCATCACAGAATCACAATCCTAAAATGGTTTTAGGTTTTAAGGGACCTTACTGACCATCCAGCTTCAATCCTCCCACCACAGGCAGCGATACCACACCTAGATCAGGTTGCTCAGGGCCCTTGAATATGCATGCAAACATAAATTTTATGCAATCACAGAATCACAGACTGGTTTGGGTTGGAAGGGACCTTTAAGACCATCAAAGTTTTACGCCGCAACCACATTTCTCCAATCTCTGTCCAACCTGACCTTGAACACTTCCAGGGATGGGAGAGCCTGGACAACTTGTTTCAATGCCTCATCAGCTTCACAATAAAGAATTTTTTCCTGATATCTAATCCAAACCTACTCTCTTCTGATTTGAATCCATTCCCTTTTGTTTTATCGCAACTTGTGCTTCCAAAAATATCCATCTTTCTTGTAGGCTCCTTTCAGGTCCTGGAAGGAAAGTAGATACCTATAGAGGATGAACTTAGCACTCAAATACCATGGATATGACTACAACATTCTATTTCACGAATGGAAATACAAGACCCTGCAGCACCACTGGCCAGTTACAAGGCTAATACCCTAATCCAAGTAATGCCAGACAGGGAAGGTCCTTAAGCACACATCAGCCATTGTTTGAATGCATGTAAGCAGGCAATTAGCTGAAAACCAGCACTACCCAAGCACGGCTAAAATACAAATGGACTCATTAGGATGAGGCTGGCCCCTGGCAGCTTGCGTGCACATCCATACTGATACCCCACTGCACAAGCTGCCCTAGCTCTCTGTATGGCTGCTTTGCTTATCTAATCAAGATGATAATGATAAACTACACATAAACAGAGGTATGGTTATCATCTCAAAGTTCCTCTAGAATTTAAGTTTTACTTAGACAGCTTAGATCCCAGCATCAGTCCCAAGCGCCACTGGCAGAGTACTCAACACTGGCCTTCCACAGACTATGCTGTGTCAATCCCTATCCATAATGGACCTGTGGGTTTTCTGGCTAGTCTGCACACACCTGAGACCATCCTCACATGGGACATGATACTCAGCCCTGGCACACTGGCCTTGTTCTCCCTCCTCAGCAATCAAGTTGGACATTAAGAAGAACCTCTTCACAGAACAGGTGATCGGGCATTGGATTGGCTGCCCAAGGAGGTGGTGAAGGTGGTGTTTAAGAAAATACTGAAGTGGCACTTAGTGCCATGGCATTGGTTGACAAGATGCTGTTAGGTCATAGGTTGGACCTGATGATCTCAATGGTCTTTTCCAACCTAGTTGATTGTGTAATTATGTAATAAAGACAGAACAAAAACGGGAAGGACAAATTTCTTAACCAACAAAATGGTCCATCATTTGTGATGTGCAGTTAACAGATGGCATTCAAATTAACATTCATATCCTTCAAGTGTCTTATCAAACAAGCCTAAACAGCATTTTGAAATTTCCATTTAAAATTTTCTATGAGTTTGCAAGAAGTATCACAGATTTTACTGCCATCAACTAAAGCTGTTACTGCCTTTAATGAGGGAGTGACTATATCATGACTTGAACTAAAGCAGTCCAGATCCTGCTGCCCAAGGTCACCTGCACAGACTTCGCCAGGAAGATGGAGCACCAAACTCACGCTTTAAATTGCACAGGCAGACTGTGAGCATCAAGACCTTAAAAACACCTTACAATTCAGATTCAAGGAGACAAATCCCTCACTGTCAACCCCTGACACTGGATCCCCTCAGACTTCTGTCCCAATAGCACCCAAGCCTGAAGAGCCATGGGGCACACAAAGGTACCTCGAAATGCAGTAACGCAGTTACATGTCCTTGAGAATTCCGACATTATGTGCCTACCAGGGACCACCAGCTCCTGGCCCTCACTCCCTTCACCTCAACCATCCACATGGTCCTACGCGCCTTCCCAGATGCTTTCCAAAACTTGACAGGTTTGGATGGCTCTGGATCAAAAGGGAAGCCAAATTCAAAGTCATTGGTCTTCGTAGAGAATGCCTTGTCAACAACTTTCCTAATTACATATACCCTGACTGGAAAACCGCCACTGAACAGCTGTGGCAGCCTTGCAAAAAACAACCAAAAACCAGTATGTTTTAAAATATCGTATTCAAGGACACTAAATCTAACAGAGAAAAGGACTACAAATATCATCTGATGTGGTACATATGTTCCAGTATAGGAAAAATTGCTGGATCTGAAGATTCAGTTTTATCTGTTCCAAAAGTTACATAAAATCAGCACAAAAATGCTACTTCTCTTTGTGCAACTCACCAGCACTGGGTTTACAAGCTCTAGATGACTATGCTAAACAGCACAGGTCCTTACAAGACTCCAGCAGCAGTTTTCTTCTGTTGAAAAAACCATTCCTCTGTTTTAACCAGTTACTAAGCCACAGGAGAATTCTGCTCTTGTATTTTGGCAGCTACACTGCCACACCATGCTCACTCAGCAAGATCTTCATCCAAGTCAGTGATACCTTACTGAAAGCCTACTTGAAAATCCACCTCACCAAAATACTCAGATTTGATTAAACCAGCCAGTGAAAGCAGCCCACTCTCCTCATTAAGTGGTATTGGTTCACATCCCCAGTATTCTCCTTCTCTTCTAAAACTCAAATTTTAATCAACTTGCTGGAATCACCAACCAGCCTCTGTTGATCTGGATCCTTTTCTCATCAGTACTCTATATTCCCCACTCCTATTCCTTCCGCACCACCCAGAATTTAAGGAACAGGTAACACACTACTATTTATATACTATTAATACTTGATACCTGGAAGTCCTCATGAACATCATCTGGCTCTCACCATTTTCTACTGTTAATTTCAGCAATTTCTTCTAAATCTTTTTCTGGCAGTTTTGACAGTTTGACATCCCTGCTATAGAAATTTCCAGCACAAGAAAATTCCTATTTCCCTCCATAGGAAATACAAGAAATCCCTTTGATCTATAGTTTCATCTTCCACAAGCTTTCTCTTTTAAGAAGAGATTATTTTCTATCTTGAACAATTTGTCCCTCTTTTTAAAATCCTCTTAGTTCACATCTAACTTGCAGCTGTTTGTTCTTTTCCATTTTCTCCCTTCAGAAAGGATTTCCAATTTTGTAAATTAAGACCTTTTTCAAAACCTACCAGGCTTCTATAGGTGTTTTTAAGATGTGTGCCTGTTTCATTTTTTTGATTGTTGTTTTAATTTAGCAAGTCATATTAATGAGGACCAAGAGCACAGTCTCTACATAGAAGACAACTTTCCATTAGCGGTCAAACAGGGAAAACCTGACTTAAAATATGTACTACATGAAGTCAAATAGCCCCCAGCAATTACCAAAGAAGAAGACAAGTGTTCAGCAAAGAAGCTCTATGAGAAATATTACAGACCCTAATCATAGGGGGTCTATAATAGAAATACTGATACCCACTGGGATTCAAAGAAAAATATTTTTTTCCCAAGACACCTTCATATAAGGCAGCAGGCTCACATCTAGGTTGCCTGACCAAGAAAGCAGTAGGTACCTCTGGAGCCCATGAATTAACTCATGCAGCTGCAGGTGCCACTATTCAGCATTAATTTGACATTTAACAGGCACGTTGATAAATATGATTTTACCACAAGCATTAGTTAATTGAAGTGTACTCAAACATAACACAAATCTGTGGAAAAAATAACAGCCGGAATTTGTTCTCAGGGCTTTTATCTCTGCCAAATGGGAAACCAACAGGATGAAGCGATGGCAGTCCAGTGCTCCATCCCGGCCATTCCCCAGCCACCCTCGACCTCTGCAAGCAGCGGATTATATAAACACCACGGAAAGCACTTCCTGCACCTCTGAGAGGAGGACGCAGGCACCGGACCCTCCGGGGGCCATTGAGTCACCCGGAGGCCCGAGAGGGTCACACCCGCACAAACACCGCAGCGCGGCGGCGCCAAGCCGGGCATTCCGGGCGGGGAGAAGACCCTCGGGAGAAGCCACCGGGACGGGACGGGGGAGCGGGCACCGTCCTGGGGCCGCCCCGGGACTCCGGGACCGCTTCTCGCCTTACATCACCCCCCTCGGCAGTGCCGCCTTCCCGAACCCGCGGAAACTTTTCCAGCGGGGCACCCGCGCCCCGGATTCCGCCCGGTTGCCTCCGGGCGCCGCTTCCCGCCGCGGCCCTCCCGCCACCCCGCAGGGCGCCGGCGCGGCCAGGCCTACGCGCGGCCGGCTAGGCGGCGGCGGGAGGGCCTCGGTCCAGCTCGGCGGCGGAGGGCGCTCACCTGGGCGCACGGTCTTGAGGCGCACGGGCTCCCTGAAGTGCCGCACCACGGCCAGCGTGTCGCGGTGCGTGAGGCCGCTCACCGGAGTACCGTTCACCTCCAGCAGCACGTCCCCCGGCGCCGGCGCCTTGCCCGAGAGCAGCGCGGGGCCCGGCGCGCCCTCGCTGCCCGCGGGCAGCCGGCCCGCCAGGTACGGGAACTCGCCGCGCTCGGCGCCGCCGCGCAGCAGATCGGGGTCGGGGCCCGCTGGGCCGCCCCAGGACACCACGCACTCCTGCACCTTGCTCAGCCAGTGCCGCTTCTTCCGCAGGGTCTTGGACATGCCGCAACACGGGGCGACGCAACCCACCCCGCGCTGCCGCCGCTCCCGCCCCAGCCGCGGCTGCCGCCCGACTGCGCCCCGCCGCGCCGCCCCAGCTCCGCCTCGCCGGCCCCACCCCTCCAGTCTCCGCCCTTCCCGTCTCCACCGCGCCCTGCCGGCCTCACTGGCCGCGCCCTTCCCGGCCTGCCGCGCCCGGCGCGCGCTCCTGGCGCGGGGCTGCCTGTCACAGACCGTGCGGTACTGGGCCGGGCCCGGCCTGCCCGGGGCGGGGCATGTCGGGGGCTCAGACTCGGCCCCGGCGGGACCCTCTAGGAGCTGCGGCGCGTTCCGGATGTGGTCCCCTGCTCCGGAAAGAGCCCTTCAGGCAATCCCCGCCTAGGCCGTGATATCCCCTCAGCCAGGAGTTCTCCAGCCAGCGCCCGTTGCAGCAGGGTCCCCTCTCAGCGAGGGCTTGCGTTGTGTAGTATCTCTTCTCAGCCAGGAGCTCCTCAGTCAGTGCCCATCCCAGGCAGGGTTTCCTGTCAGCAAGCATCTCTGTCAGGATCTCTCCTCAGTCAGGAGCCCCCCTCAGCCAGGGCCTTTCTCAGCTAAGAGCCCCCAAGTCAGCTCCCACCTAAGGAAGAGTTTACCTTCAGCCAGGGTCATCCCTTAGCCAGGAGACCCCCTTGGCAGCTGGGTTCGAGATAGGTGTGACAGCTGAGGTGGGGTGTGCATGATCCGCTCTCATGTTTGCCCTTAGTGCCTGCACAACCACACAGGCAGAGACACCACTCCTGTGTATTCCCAGCATTCCCATGGCTACTGCCAGTGGAACCAGTTGGTTTAAAGTTGCTTGAGCACCTCAGGCCAAAGCAGAGCTCAGAACAGTGGGTACAATTTCAATATAAACAAATGCAGATACTTTTTCAACTGGAAAACACAAACCCAGTGGGTTTTCTCTTCACATGAGCGTGTTTATTTAGCTGCGATTCACAAATATATTTAGCTTTATATATGTCACTCACATATAAAGAAGTTCTTCTTCATATTCAGGTGGAACTTCCTGTACATCAGTTTCTGTCCATTGCCTCTTGTCCTACTGTTGGGTACCACCAAACAGAACCTGGTCCATCTTCTTGGCAGCCCTCCTTTAAACGCTTATAGACATGGATGAGCTCCCCTCTTTGTCGCCCCTTCTTGAGGATGAACAGGCCCAGCTCCCTCAGCCTTTCCTCATAAGAGATGCTCCAGTCTCTTGATCAACTTTGTAGCTCTAAATTTAATGACTGGGAATGTTCTGTGCTGGGATAAAACCCTGGCTAATGGGTGTCACAGGCCAACTCTCATCTGCATGTGGAACTGACTGGAAAAGTACGCTATTCATCCATTTATTAGGAATGGCCGAAGCTATTGGTTTGGTGATGTTTTATAATTTTTACTATCCATTCAGCCATTTCTCTCCACTTGGGTGTGTTTCTGATCATCACCCACTAAAATCCTTTGTTTGACCTTCCCCTTGCTGTCAGCCTCCTTCACCAGCAGTGAGTTAGCATCTGTAAGCAGTTCATCTCTGTCAGTGGTTTTACATCTTTAATAGGATATGAAATATCTGCAGCAGCCTTGTCAAGTTTTATAACCCTGTTCACAGGGATTTGGGATAGCTGGCATGGTCCAAAAGCCTGTCCCATTCTGTCTCATAAAAGTAATCCCCAGCACCTCTCTGGTTCCAGCTCCTTCTCAGCAGTCACTTTCTCTCTCTTCCCTGAATATCAGCTGCTTGAGCAGCCTGCGGAAACAAGGAGGACCAGTCAAAGCTCACAGAGCAGCACTCCCAGCCCTCTGTATCTGTGCACAAACTTCTCTGGAGAATGCCAAAGGAAACTCAATTTTCTTGAGAGTTGATGCCCACTCCTGTCAGTCATCACCTCCCAGCCTGAGTCCTGTGCATGAGGTCTGAGCCTGTCTTTCACAGACACCTTGAAATATCTAAGCGGACTGGAACCAGTGACAGAGGATTGAGGGTGTTATCCTGCCCTCTCCAGTTCCACTAGCCCTACTGACAGAGGACAGGGGGCCTGAGCTGCAACAACACACTAACAATTCTCTTGACTTCTAGAAAAGAGGATGAAGGAAGAGCAGTGGAGTGTTAGGAAGTGAAAAACAAATCTTCTTCCCCACTCCTACAGTTGCAGGGAGTACTAAGGTTACCTGTGTGTGCATCAGTCCTCTCATGGGATCATTCCCTAGTGTTTGAGGTGTGATTTCAGACTGACACAGCCAACCTTTCTTTGACTGCTATTGACATCACTGAATTCATCACTTTTTTAGTCTTCCAACTGCTTGTACCTTCCAGAAAGCCTCATTTGAGCAGATCAGCCTTGCCCAGCATAAGGATGATTGCCTACGTTATTCTGAGCAATAGCTCATGCAGATCTGGTTATGTTACTTGAATAAATCTATATGATTAATACATTTCTTGTCTTTCAATGATTAGTATTTAAGCAGCAGCATGCAAGGGTTTACAAAGAGTTATTTAGAAAAGAATGTCCCCATTCTTCTTTTTGCATGTTAATAATGTAGCTAAAGTCTCAGTAGATCTGTCATAAAAAATATTGTCAAAGGAACCAAGATAAGTGTGGAATTATTTGCTGTTTAGAAAATCCAGATGCGTCACAGAAAGCAATAATAACACAAAATAACTTTGATAAAAGTTTTATAGAGAGAATTTTTTACAGCCCCAGCTGATATTACAGCTCATATTGAATAAGCTGCTTACAAAGGCTTTAAGTTAATTTACATTTTAGTACAGGAAGTAGAATAACGCACTCTGACAGAAAAAAAGTTCACCTCAAGGCAGAGGTCACCCAGCTCTGGCTACAATAAAGACAGAACTTTGGAAAAAATATGCGCCTGGGGTCCAGATCCCTTGGGTTGGGGCTGTACATGGCAACTCACCCAGAGCTCCCCATGCTTGAGATGTAAAAGTCTCCTTATTTTCTGTGACTTCCACAACACTCTTGCTGAGAGGTGCCGTGGCTGAGCATCCACTGAGAAATAAATTGTCTTCCCATTGCACTGTATCCAGTTCTGGATCAGGTTCCTCCCTTTCAGCATGGCTTTCAGCACATTGCAGAGGCAGTCTCAGAACCAGAGCTTATGTACAATGTCACCATTCCTCTGAGAACACTGGTGACACACCTTTCTCTATGTTATTTCTTTGTTACTTTTTCGTCCTGCATCAGCCAGACAAAAATCCTCCTACTGCATTATGACATCCATAATTCTGGAGCTCCTATCCTATTATAATTTAGTTATTAAATTATTGCTCTAAATACAGGGAGAGTTTTTCTAGGTTCTTTTTTCTCCTGGCAGTGTTTGTACAGCAACACATGTCATTGTAGCCAAAACCAGATTAATATTGCTGGGTTTTGTTAATAAGTTATTTGCAAAGTACTGTTTGGAAGTAAATGGGATCTAATAGAAGCCTCACAGGTTTCCCATTATACTCCACTGTTATCATTTAGAGGCAGCTTCTTTTGTAGTCATTAATGAATAATGACAATATGATAATCTTCAAAGCTCACCATTCCAGCACCAACCTTTCCTCTGACTTATAACGAAGATGTTAAAGTTATTTCCCTCTCATAAAGCAGGGACTTTTCTTTCTTTGCTGATGCATCTGTTTTACTGATATCACTTCTCAACTCCCACTGCTGGGCTCAATCTCACTGAAGGATGAGGGGAGGGAGTACACAGTACTTCGTCTTTCAATGTCAGCCCTCAAAACCAGTTTTACAAAAAAAAAGAGAAAAAGAGCATGTCCTGTTGTTAGATGTCTCCTGCTTGTGGGTTTTGGATGCTATTTGTTATTGACATAAGGGTCAGGAATCATACAATCATGAAATCATTTAGGTCAGAAAAAACTTTTATGACCATCGAATCCAACCATTAACCCAGGACTGCTAAGGCCACCACTAATCCTTGTCCTCAAGTGCCACATCTACATATCTTTTCAATCTCTTCAAGGATGGTTACTCCACCACTGCCCTGAGCAACCTCTTCCAATGATGGACAACCCTTTTGATGAAGAAATTTTCCCTAGTATCTCGTGTAAATCTCCCCTGGTGCAACTTGAAGCCATTTCCTCTCATCTTGCTGCTTTACTTGGAAGAGGAGAGAATCATTTACGTTGGAAAAGACTTTTGAGATCCTTGAGTCCAATGTCAGGATCTTTCACTGATCTTCAGAGTATGGTGTGATGCTTTTCATTTTTAGGTGAATGAAATAAGATCCCTTAGGCAAAGCTGTGCTCCCTGCATGTTAGACATGCTGAAATGCTTCCATACATCAGCCTTTTGATATGTCTGACACCCAGACTCACACTGGGCCTGCCTAAGTGTCATCCTCAAGAATGGCCTTGTCCCTTTAAACATTCATGTGCTCTTGCTTCTGCTCATGTATTTTTATTACTAACAGGTTCCCAAGCTGATAATACAGCAGTGAATACATTATTCAGCCTGGATTGCTGACTTTACTGCTGGCTGTCTCCATTACAGCAACATCCTCCAACACTTATGGGTAGGGATCTCAAGATTCATCTGAGTATCCTGGCAGAACATGGCTGATGCTGCAGGGCTTAATGGGGAAAAGCAATGGGATGGGACCAGAGCCAGGGATCTCTGTCCAGACTCCACTCACAACACCAGAGCACACAAGCTCAGCTCCTCCAGTCTCCTGTGAGCCCCAGGAGGTGCAGGGGAGGCAGGAGACACTTCTTGGGGCTGAAGTGCCACTTATGCTTCTTCTATTACATTACAGAGCTGCTACAAATGTGCCACATTCCTTTCCCTCTTCTCCCACATGAACCATGAACTGACCAACTACCTCTGAATTGCACAGGGGGGCTGTGAACTTTAATTAATTTGTGGGTTTCAGTTCTTCGTGCTCTCAAAATTCAGTGTGTTTAATTCCTTCATTACTTCCCAGTTAATAGCATTATTTATTTGAGTTAGGGTAGTTCCCACCAAGACTGTGTGATGGTGGGTTCCCAATTCCACA